CCTGTCAACAGGGGTGTCCCCCAAGGCAGTGTTCTAGGACCAACTCTCTTCATACTCTACATAAATGACCTCTGTGATCACATTAAGAGCAACTGCGTTCTCTTCGCTGATGTTGTAATGCTGTTCAATACCACAGACAATACTGCTACCCTTCAAAAAGATCTTGACTGTGTATCAGAATGGTTAAACAAATGGCAACTTCAAATCTCAACAAATAAATGCTCTGTTTTACATATTGGCAAAAAAAAATCAGAAAATAAAATACAAGCTGAATAGTCAAGACTTTGTTGATGATCCAAGCTCTGTAAAGGACCTTGGAGTACTCATCTCAAATGATCTAAGTGCTAGAGCCCACTGTAACTACATAGCCAAATAGGCATTAAGAGTTGTTAACCTAATCCTATGTAGCTTTTTCTCTGGAAATATCACACTACTAACTAGAGTACAAAACATTTGCTAGACCAATACTCAAATACAGCTCATCAGTCTGGAACCCACATTACGTATCTGATATTAGCACAGTTGAGAAAGGCCAGAAATATTTCACAAGAAGAGTTCTCCACTCCTCTACTCATTGCAGAATACCTTATGCCACCAGACTTGAAACTCTAGACCTAGAAAACCTAGAACTACGCTGCCTTCGGTCTGATCTAAGTATGGTATATAAAATCATACATTGCAATGACTACTCAATGAATACTTCAGCTTCAACCATAACAACAAAGAGCACTCAATAGATACAAACTCAAGGTAAACCCTACCAAACTTGATTGCAGGAAATACGACTTCAGCAACAGAGTGGTCAGTGTCTGGAATACTCTACCTGACTCTGTGGTTTCTTCCCCAAACACTTTAACCTTTGACTGTCTACTATTGACCTCACCCCTTTCCTAAGAGGTCTGTAGGGGGCGTGCATAAGCACACCAACGTGCCTACCATCCCTGTCCTATTGTTTCTTTTATTTTTCTTATATGTACCCATTTCATGTATTCATAACTATGTGTATACTTATACCTATTATCTTGTAAGCGACTGACAAATCAAAATAAATAAAATAAATAAACAAGAAATGCCTGTAGAACAGGAAGGGCGGGACAAAGAAGAAGCCATCTTCAATGACCAAGTATTTCTATGTGGGGAAAAGAAAGGAAAGGGGGGAGAGTGAAGAATTTAAGATTTGAAAAAACAACCCAAAAAAGGAATAGTTTGAAAAGTAATTATAACATTAGGAAGAAACAGAAGAGAGGATTACAGAAGAGAGAATCAGAATTAGAGAGAGAAGGGGTCAAAAAGGGAAGGGAGAAGAAGAGGGGGAAGAGGAAAAGGAAAAAAAATTATAAAGGACAGAAACAGGACATAGAGAAACAGGGAAAACGTACAAGGATTAAGGGTATAAGCCTATTTAGAAGACACTGAGATAATGGGTGAAAACTTAATTGAAAGGGGTATTCTGCAAGGGTACATAAGATAGTATTGTTATATTAGAAATAGAAATGAACTTTGAAAATATGAAACAAGTGTGATTAAAATGATAGATAAAATACTCATTGTAATGTAATGGAATGTTTAATAAATAAATGAAGTAAAGAGAATGAGGGAATGAAATTAGGAAAGGAGGGGAGTATTTTAATTATTATAAATGTGTTATAAAAATTTAAGTGAAGATGAATATGAAAGAAACATGAAAAAATTATGGAAATATTATAAGTGTTCCTAGAAGTATGATACCCTATTGAAAAGAAATGTCAAAGATTATAACTAACATTAATGATAGAGCTGAATTGGAATAGAATAAGTATTTTATTTATTATTGTTTATATATATATATACCGTGTTTCTCCAACAATACGGCCTCCACCAATAGGAAGACCCAGCATGTTTTCTAGGCATAAAATCAAATTAAGCCCCTCCCCCCAAATTTAGGCCTAGTTTAAAACATGCAAAATAGGGGGAAGGGTGGGGGGACTTACCATTTGGAGTGCCGTTGGAGCTACCACCGCCGTTTGGAGTGCCGTTGGAGCTGCCTCTGCCGTTTGGAGCTGCCTCTGCCGTTTGGAGCCACCGCCGCCATTTGGAGCTGCCTCTGCCATTTGGAGCTGCCGCCGTCGTTTGGAGTGCCGCCGTCACGTTTGGAGCTGCCGCTTCCGCGTTTGG